ATGTGACGAAATTCTACCTAAACTTCTACTTAGTCCCGATATGTCAAACAGTCTAGTGGGGAGGCTTCTGCGGTTCAAGTTCCACCCAATCGCCGTCGCGTTCGACATTGAAACGATGTTTCATCAGGTCAAGGTTCCTATTAAGGATCGGAATTGTTTGAGGTTCCTGTGGTGGAATAACGTCAATATTTGTTCACACCCTATTGAATACCGCATGACTGTACATCCGTTTGACGCTGCTTCATCACCAAGCTGTGCTAACTTTGCGTTAGTACAAGGTATCGTTGACAGTTATTGCGAATCCCAAGCAAAGGTTAAAGAAGTAGCGGAGAACTCTTTTTGTGTCGACGATTGTTTATTTAGCGTCGATTCTATTCACGAAGCAACTGAACTCCTTAAACACCTTGCACGTATTCTATCCGACGAACATTTCATTTGACGAGATGGATCCGCAATCGAAAGGAGGTTATCGCGCATTTACCTGACAGCGAATTGAAGGTTCCCGGAATAAGATATTCAACTGAGGACGATTGTGTTACAAATGCGCTTGGTTTAAACTGGCACGTCACCCAGGACCACCTAACTTTTAAGCTTGAAACTTTTGATAAAACGTCCCGAAGAGCCATCCTCTCGTTTGTAGCTTCAGTCTATGATCCTGTCGGCCTCATTGCTCCAATGCTACTTCCTAAAAAGGAAGCTGGATTGGGATGAGCCTCTTCCCGCAGAGGATCAGCAAGCTTGGAACAAATGGTTATCAAACGCCAATGGTGTGAACAGCTTGTCCGTTGAACGTTGTATTAATCCATTGGGATTCAATGTATCTTCTGGGCAGTTGCATAGTTTTTCCGGTGCGTCTGAGGCAGCTTACAGTGCTGCTCTATATTTGCGTTGTGAGATTGATGAAGGCAGCGTTAGTAGTTTCCTGATTATTAGTGAATCGCGTGTCAGCCCTACTAGAACCATGTCGATACCAAGATTGGAGCTCACTGCAGCCGTACTGAATGTGTGAAAGTCGGCGAGAAGATGGCATTCTATTGTAGCACAACATTCTGGACAGACTCCATGGTAATTCTGAAGCTTCTTAGAAGTGTTAATGGGCGTTTCCCGACGTACATTGCTAATCGGATTACCGCTATACAACAGTATTCTCACCCCAGTCAGTGGCGCTACGTAACTTCGAAGCAGAATCCGACTGATATAGCCTCATGTGAACTCGCGACATCCCTCAAGAAGGGAACAAAGCATTGGTGACATTGACCACAATTTTTAGTTCAGACCCATTCGTCATGGTTTATGCATCCTAAGAATCTGGATGAATTATCGCCTGAATAGTTACGACCCGAGATTGGTCATGTTTTATTGGTCACTTTGGAGGAGAATTGGATTAATAAATTTAAGGCTTGTCCGACATGGACTTCCCTGCGCAAATATTTCGTTACCTTCTTGCGATTCAAATCTTGTTTCCTCGCCAAGTACCTGAGGCGCGCTGCACCTGACCAACCAGCTGAGATAGAAACTGCTGAAATTCGACAAGCTACGCTTCAGATGGTTAGGTTGGTGCAGTCAGACGTTTTTGCGGAGGAGATGCGCCTCTGCGCACAACGAACCCGACATAGCAGTTCGAAATTCAAAACTGAGGTCATGCAGATTAAGACGACTCAAGCTCTTCGCCATTAATGGGATATTTCGGGTGGGCGAATGGCTGGATCAACTCTCGGTACCGTACGACACGAAGCATCCGATTTTACTTCCGGCCGCCACTTTGTCACTCGCCTTCTTGTACTGCACTACCACGACATCAATGGACACTGATGCGCAGCACACTTTGTACGATCTTCCTCGACACAACTGGATCGTGGGTGGGGTTTCATCCATAAGGCGTGTGCTTTTCTGATGTGCCAAATGCCGCGTTAACCATACGAAGCCACTGAGTCAGCTGATGGTACCAGTTATAACAGACCGATGTCTGACCCACCATCCAGCGTTCACTGCAGTGGGGATCGACTATTTTGGACCGCTGATAGTGAAACGTGACCGAGTACATGAAAAGAGATATGGCTGTTTGTTCAGTTGCCTGACTACACGGGCAGTTCACATAGAGGTTTCCCACTCTATGGATACCGATTCGTTCTTATGTTCGTTTTCGAGGTTTTCAGCTAGACGCGGCTGGCCGCATGTAATATACAACGATAATGGACAGAACTCCTACGTAGCTGAAGCAGAATTACGCCACCTTCTGAAGCGACTGGCTCAGACGAAGATCACAGTCTATGTTGGCTAGAGAGGTCGACTGGAAGTCCAATCCTCCATGTGCTATCCATAGCGGAGGTCTTTAGAGACGATTGATTCGATCGACTCGTGAATTATTACGTAGCATTTTCAACGGCGAGGTTGCGACTGAAGAGTTACTTGAAACGACACTCACCGAGATCGGAAGAATATTGAATGACCGGCCTTTGGTAGCGGTACCCAACTCCCCGGATTCGCATGGTGCTATATCGCCTCGGCATCTTTTAACGCTTGCAAATGGTCAGTCAGTTGAATACCCACCAATCAAATTGAGCAAGTGGAGACAGGTAAGACATCTGTCCGAAATGTCTTGGCGTAGGTGGATCAGAGTATATCTACCGACACTGCAGAATAGGCAGAAATGGTTAACTGAAATCCGACATCTTAGACAGGGCGATTTAGTTTTAGTTTGTGATTTACGGACACCAAGAGCTCTGTGACCTAAGGGTGTCGTGGAGGAAGTTATCAAGAGCAAAGATTGGTGTTTTCGAGCGGGCAACACCGATTTCTTATTTGCATCAGCTACGGCCCTCGTGATCGAAAGGCCAAGATTCACATCAATGGGAATCGCGGTGAACATTGAGATTGCGCGTCGCAATCCATCCACACAACGTGTACTTCAAATTCACTTTCCAATCTGTTATTTGCCGTTGTGCCAAGCTTTGCCCGTCGTGATCCGGTGGCTTAGGGGTGGCGGTCACAACTAACATCTCAATGGTCCCAGGTTCGATGCCTGCTATCTCTATCTGATGAGAGGAAATAACCTCGAAACGCGTCATGGAGTGCAGTGGTTTCAGGCGGACAACACCCAATTTGCTGCTGCTTCATCAGTTACGGTCCTAGTGATCGAAAGGCCAAGATTCACATCAATGGGAATCGCGGTGAACATTGAGATTGCGCGTCGCAATCCATCCACACAACGTGTACTTCAAAATGACCCTCAACAAATACCAATTAGTTCGACAAGCTCTGGTGAGAACAAGCAAAGGCGTATTGAGAAGAGGCGCCAGACTGCTATCCCTATTAGAAGCGTACCAGGACGAAGAGACTAATGATGTGGAAGCCATCGTCCAGAATACGAAACCGCTGGGGGAGTGTAAAGTCCAAAAGGAACTTTGATGTATCCCCAACCTGGATTGCTTACTTGAGGATACGGTATCTCTATTCCCTAATTGTTATGCTCATTTTACATTGTTTTCACTCCGTGTGCAACAATCAGTTACCATATTGTACATTTATTCCTTTCACTCTCGATCACTGGCATACCCTTGACGTTTCAAGGCCATCCATATTATTCTATTACTATGAACCTGCCCAAATACTACTCGCAAACTGCCGCACGCTTTACAATTTCTGCCCTCGCACTACGATTGCAAAACCTACTCGTAAGTCATGTACTGTATTTGGTATGCCTTATAGAACCACAGTTACAGGATAATTCGTTTTATTCTTCTGGCCAGGCCGTGCGTTAAGTCTAGGTTTATTTGTTCGTAGTTTCGGTTTCGTACGACGTACTTTGTTTAGACTTCGTATCCTTGGTACGATGGTGATGATGTTGATGATGATGAGGAGGAGGAGGATGAGGATGATGATGAAGTCTCATACTTCGCATCAACAGTGAGTTCGTGGTTGGAGCTTGAGGGACATAACAGCTCACAACACGTACACGATTGTGGTCGGATATTTGCCATGTCAGCTAGTGTGTCCAACCAAACATGTTCATTGTCCTTCGGACGCCAACCCGGCAATCGAGAGGCACCAGCCAACCCCAACTTCGAAGTGGGGGTTTTCATTTTTTTTGGCCAGGCCATCGCTTGTCCTTTCCTCCTCTTCTTCCATCCACCCCCAGGTTGCGCAAAAATCGCAGAACGCGGGATTCGGTCTGATTTGTACGTGTATTTTTTTATAGATGAGCTCCATGACTACTACATCAGGCAATACATTGTCCACATTTACTGAGGCGTATCCTTTACTTGAAAGCCTAATATCTATCGTATTTTTCCTTCCCTCATTTTCTCTGGAGTACTCTTTGCTATTAAGGTAACTATACAATTCACTGCTTCTCCATCCCTTGATTTTGGCTTGTGAATCTAGCCGAGCCTCTAACAGGATAAACAGGCATGTTTTAGCAGGGTCTATTCCGCGTCTATAGGTTTACTTCTGTGTCTACCAGCTCAATTCCCGCATTCTTCTTTATCGCGATTAGAGCAGGTTCACGCTGGTGTAGGGTCATTTGACGGCTTGACAACGCACAGCCATATCAGTAACCTTACTTTTTTAGTACACATTCAGGTCGCCATTGTTTCATTATTGAATAGTGTATTATGGGCGAAAGTGGACATCGAAGTCTGTACAACTCCATCGAGATGATTACGCTCGGGCTGGTGTCGCTTAGTTTGCTGTAATTATCAAACTTCAGCGTTGCGCAATTATGCTGGGGTATGTGGGCATCTGTGATTTCGGTACTCAGGTACACTGCGCACGACTTAGCAAAGCCTGTAGTGGAAGCACTCTCAATCTGCCTCTTCTATTCAACGCCCATTGTATTGTCTCGCTCATCTGTTTCTAAATTCTTTGAAATGAGTTTTCTTCTTTGCGTTTGCCGCCTCAACTTTTAGTTAGCTTTTGCTAGTTCCTCCATACACCCCACTATATTGTCACCTTTTCCCCATTTCGCCCCACGATTTATCGCCATTCTGTTTGCCCCACAGAAATTCACTCACGCTATCAAAGAGGGTCTGGTTAGCATATCTTTCGTCCTTCAACCTACAAGGCTGTCCGGTGGACTGGAACAGCCCATCTCAAACGACTCTAACCCACCTACCGCCCAGCCAATTGTACGCCGTATCCATGGACGAATGACCGTTGGCCACCTACGCATGATGGTGAGACGTCTTTTCAAGCTGCGCGCCAACGCCTCATTCCACCTGGTAGCCCAAGGAGAGCGACATCGGAAGATTAATTCAGAGATACTGCTAGAATCTGATACTCGCGAAATCGGCTTTTATTGCCTGGAAGACGGTGATACTGTGTTCATCCGCCTTCACCACTCGTAATTGGTGTATTTCATGCCTCACTCTTAGTTCTGTGTATTGCCGCGCCTCTTTGTTATCTATTTCCATTGACAGTTTGTGAAAATACAGTTTGTCGTTACCTTCATATCGGCTTGATTATATTTTCAAAATAGCGACGAACCAAAAGGAAGCAGATACGGAGTGAATACTCCTTTTTCGTAACTCTCCTCAGACTCAAACTTTACATGATAAAGATTACATGCTAAATGTGCCGAATAGAGCTGCGTATTTATTAGAAAGTTTTTAATTCCAACAGAAGCGAATCGGTAAATCACGCGGCCATTGAAGGCAGCAGACTATGTACAAGGGCAAACCACTTTCACAAACAAAGGATAACTGAGATGCAAATTAAAGGATCACACAAAATTGTAATCGGTGAGTTTTGGCATTTGCTTTCCAATTTCGTTGTATCAATAAGGATTCGCTCGGTCGAGTCGTGTCTCTTACTAATTCTACCTCAGAGTAGCGCCTTATCTAACAACCCACGTTTAGTTCCATCCCTATCTTGTAATTCAGGATTACTTTTTCTTACATCCTTCTGCGCTTATCTTGGAAGTTGGTTTTAATATCTGATTTCTTTCTGATACCAAGAAAACCGTCTGCTCCTCCTGCACCAACAGGCAAAAAGTGTCAGGTAGGCAGTCGTAAGAGAAGTGCCGCTAAGATCGGCTAAGATTTGCCGCTACTGATACAGACATGACATCCCAATTTGTGATTGGGTATCAGATGTGTCGGAAATTGAACCCGAAAGGGGATAATTATGAAATATCCGGAGGGCATTCACATTGCCTTGGAAAATGGAAAATATTCACCGCAAAGATTAGAGAACACAAACAAATGCTGCACATAGAAAAGAAAGGTTGGACGATATCTTGCACAACTTGCTCGATATCACACTGTTTCTCACCACGCAGAAGCTGGCATTCCGGTGTCACAAATGAGATGAGTCTTCATTGAATAAAAGAGGGTTTCTTGAAATGGTTATGATGCTTTCTAAATATGACCCAGTGTGGGAAGAGCATCTTATGAGATTAAAGTGAGGCACATGTAAGCTTAAAGCACCGACGTCTTGCACAAAAACAGTGACTTTATACGTGTCCTAGCTAATCAAGTGAATGAAAAACTTGTCATGCGCCAGATATTTTTGGATCCTGTTCGATAGCAGACTTGATATACCACACACTGACTAAATGTCCAAAGTGATCGGATAGGTAAAAGTCAACCATGGGAAAGTTAGAGAGAAGTGTTTCTGGAGTTTTTTTTCCTATAAATTGAAAAAGGCTGTTGATCTCAGTGCTGATATACTTAGAAATGTAGGAAGTGATCGACCTGATATTATGATGTGCCGTGCACAATGTCACGGTAATGCTGTAGCGACAGAACAACGCGGCATTGAAGCACGATCTTTATTGGCCCGAACACACACCACCCTACCAATCACACAGGCGCACATTAATGAGTCAGGTTTCTTTCCCACGTTGCACCATCACTCCTGGCCTCCGCTCGTGGCACTTCTATGCTCCTTCTGGGGGTACGGGAACGCATCTTCTATGTCCGTTTCGCCCGTGTATCTTCGCTTCCACGCCGCCGATTCTGACAAGCCCGGAGTCGTTCGATAGCGTGCGCTTTGCTTGACCGTGGGTATATCACTCTCCCCGGGATTGTTTCTTGAAGATGCGATACCAGCGGTTTTGTCCGACTTATTGCATCTTCAACAAATTCTCCACCTGCTTTGCCTGCCGCGGGCTCACCCACGGATGCCGCTCCTGTCCCGTTTTCGTCCCGTTCTATCGGGCATGGGTTTCTCCAGCGAATCGCCCCTATTCGTCCGCCTCCGTTTTAATGATCTAAGCGTCCTTTGGGCAAGCGCTGCCTTCCGCCTCCCTACAATGCTACCACTATGGTCGGAATCCATGGGGATGTACAAGCCATTTTTAAAAGGAAGTACAGGAATACTGTCTTTACTGGGTGTGTAGATCATTCGTTTAAATAATGCAGTCAACGCTCTTTCGCTGAAAATGCTTCGTACGTGACTTTTTAGAACTGGAGACAGTATTTTCCTTCCTTGTTGCTTCTACTCACCGATGGGGTGTTTTAATGGGTTGCAATGGAGTCTCAGTAAAAAGGTTATCAAAAACGCACTGAAGTGCTCATTATGCTGCAGTAAAGACATCGAAACACAGATTTAATGAATGTGTGGCGTCAATTAAAGTTCTCTGTAATCCAGCTGAAAATGTGGACACAAGCGGCACAACCCGAGGTCTTTTAACTGCTGTCTGGAATTTCACGTTTCAATGCTACCTCTTACCCAGCTATACCTTCAGACTAAGAGCTTAACTTTTGATAACGTGGTGACAACGCTAGAGACACCAAGAGTATCTGTACGAGAATCGCAATCATCTGATGGTGAAGGAAAATGGACAAGCGCTTTTGAAATTGGCCAACTATGGGATTCAAGTGGAGGGCACACCCAGGCTCAGGAAGAGGATGAGAAGTGGAAAACCGAAAATGCTGGACTAACTCTGTGAGAAGAGAGCAAGAAGATGGTGCTTGAGTGTAGTGATCGTCTGCATTCAAAACTCCGGATCAGTTCAACATCCATGGAGAAAGTATCAGCCATGTTTGAGACTGTTAAAATCGAGTTTAGTCTCGGCTACTGAAGGGGAATTACTAGTGTTCATTCCATAACTGTCAACATTCTATGGTGAGTTGTCTGAGGGAGAGCTTTCATTGGAAACTAGCTGTCGCCGGCCAAGCTTGCCGTGACTCGTTGTGGTTAAATAATAAGAAAGGTAAAATCCACTTTTCTAGTAGATTTAATTTCACCATGCTTGTTTGTATACAATATTTTTTGTTTTATACTCTGCGCAGCTGTAGTGATTGCCAAGTTTGCCGAATCGGGAACATGTGACATTTCATTAGCTATGTGAGAAGCAATCCGCGTTTAGCTCTAAACCGCACAATTTAAAAGATTGACGCTGAGCCTTGTTGGTGGTGATTGCGAACGTCAATCGAATTAGGGATTGCAATCACTTAAATTGACATTTCATATCCATTGGAGTCATAGTAATGCGAGGAATGGCGTTATCTTCAACTTGGAAAGGTCCTGTCAATATTGTTGGTTTTTCGACTTTGCATAGTAATCCTTTTACTGCAAACTGCGTGCATTGCAAAGCCTTGGCTGGTTGATCTTTGCAACATTGACAATTGGCACACCAATTTCCCATTGCAGTACGTTCGTTGGTATCCATGGCAGTTCAAGTGAATTCAACGATTCTGTTGGACAATTAATCGTTTTATCTGCCACCACAACTGTATCGAAAGACTTGTATGTGACTGTCTCGCTTTGAATGTTGCATGTCTCAGTGCTTGGCCGCATGAATAGCGCGTTCACTCAGCCGATCTTGATTCTTATAATTGGTTTGCATATTATAAAAAATTTTCCAACCAGTTTTTATGCCAATAACTTGCAGAAGTCATGAGGCTCTGAACTTCTTCGTGTGGTCAAATCATCAGGCATCTTTTCGTTCCCAATGTCCAGTACTTGGAGTGATAAGATCTAGACTGATCAATCGCTTTGCAGCTGGACACGCATATTTGTAGTCAACAGTAACGTCATCGCGTATCACCACACAGTTGAGTGTTTCAGGCAAGCAATTTAATTCGTTCACTGGTGCCGCTCGGAGAATTATAGTTAATGTTTGCCTGAAATCTACAAATACTGATAACACGATTCCAAATGGTCTGATGTTTCCAGACAACTCTTGCAATGAGCTATCAAGCGCCTCGGGCGCTCTTTGTGCGCCATTTTGCATTCATCCCAGACAATAAGTTTGAATTTCTGCAACACTTCCGTGCCGGAAGATTTCGAAATGTTGCAGTGGGACTTTCAACGAGTTGTGTGTTCAATGGCAATTTCACAGTGGAATGTACAGTTCCTCTACCTGGTAGCAATGTCGTAGCTATTCCGCATCCCAATCCTTTCGTTCCTCCACTAAATTTCAAAGACTTGCACTACGGACACACTTCAGGCATAAGAACATGCTGGCCAAAACCGTAACCAACAACTTGGTTGTACGAGAATGTATGCCCATTATATTCGCGTGATTGCTGAGCACGGAACCGTGTTTGACACTGATCTGAGGTTTGTCGTTGACGTCTTTCAACCAGTCTCGGTTTGTCGCGTTCATTCTTTTGAGAACGAAGCAGGTCTGGAGCTGCAGTTTGCGATCGCCGTGCTCTTAACCGTACATCCTCAAGTCTGGCTGCATGTCGCACTGCTGCTTCTTTGGTATGTATTTGAGCTATTCTTTGTCACCTTCGCTTGTTTTCTGACTCCTGTCCTTGAACGAACGAGCGTGTTAATCGCGCATTTGTGGACTCTGGATATTTTTCTCTGTTTCTCAGTGGCATTTTGTCTCACACCACTGCACCTATGCCAGTTCGTCTCGTTTTTACCATCTCTATCTCGAGATACATTTTCTCGAGTATATTATTATGCATCCCACATTTACCTGGATTTGTAAACGCCGGGCAGTGTTTTACCTATACCCACGTGCAAAGGTTGCACGCTTTTAATCGTTTGACTCCAAGTTTCGTCTCACTCGGTAGAGCATTTCAACAGCGTTCTAGAAAACTGACTGGTTCCAGTCGAACACTGTGTGGATCAACTACAAAGTAATCCTCGTTTTTCCCGCAACAAGCCCTACTCAGCATCCAGGCCTTGCGATTGATAGACTGGGCCCGGCAGCTCCGTTAACCACACCACCATGAGACTGCACCACAGACACAACCGCAGTTTACCAACACGACAGCGAAGGCTTAGAGACTTCACCCCACCGGCACCATGCGACTTTGATCCCCGCGGAGACGTGACTCGACGTGTTTACGCTTTCAGAACCGTAAGTTAACTTGTGTCAGCCCCACTATCATCTCGACCGACAGCCTTTGGATTCAGTCTACTTGCGTATACATTGCAACGAACGACATCCGTAGAATTGACGATCACAGTGGCACGATGGACTGTCCACGGTAAGCTAGACCTAAAGCTCCAGAATTGGACGTTGATTGTGGCGCAGAAAGCTT